CAATCCCCATTGGGTAGTCTGGTAGGTTATCGAAAAAATTGCAGTTAGTAGTTCTACGGTCAAAAGAATGAACTTATCCTATGTAATGCAGTAGCCCTGCACTTTGAGTGTTTCCATAGCTTCAACAGGTGAAAAAATTAAATCCAAGGTATTTCCCGGGAGTAGCGTCAAGTAATAAAATCTTCGCTAAACGAAATCTCGGAACCCCACCAGGCCCAAAGGCCTCTGCGAACGCCTCAGAGTTACATCTCCTCTGCCCTTGGCTATCCGATGAATCTTCTCCAGTCCCACCCGCCGTAGTAAACACTCCTCCCGAGAGCTCGGATCCTTTTCCACAACCACAACACCCGAAACCCCAGCCGCGGATCGGGGCCCATGAACAGCCCGCGGCGCAAGTTTCGGCTTGTCCCCCTATTTCCCCTGGCACGAACCATCAGAACTGCTGCATACTATACCAACGTTGCAAACGGATCAGCCTCAGCTGCATCCGAATCCAGCCTGCGGAACCGCTCCCTTATGTCACCGTCCCCCACACACATCGTGACAACACTTCCATATGTCTCTCCTCCTCGTCCCCCCTCGCAACTGCCTACTTAAAAGGCAATAGAATCGTATCACCTTGGTTCTTTTCCCGCGAACCCTTTGCCATCCACCCTACCGGTTTCCACCGTAACACAACTTAAAACTTGCGATTTACGCCCTCGGACCTTTAAGACACGCAGTGGTCTCCTGAGACATCTCGCCGCCTACCGAAGGAACCCAACAATCTTTCTGGCCTCTGCAGCCGCAGCCAATTCCCACGATTTCAGTTGCCATACCTGCCGACGTTCCTTTGCTTCGCAAAGGGGCCTAACACAACACCGACGACATCGACATTCAGTCCAATACAACGCCGACTGTCTAGCACAACTTCCTGCACAATCCTTTACTTGGTCAGCCAGGGAAGATAGACAGCTAAGTAAAGCGGCCTCAAACCTTGCTAGATCCTGCCCTAAACTCGTTACTTTACTTCAAAAATTCAGACAGCATTCCCATCGCGGACGAAAGAGGGCATAAAGAAACGTCTGCAGCGCATCGGTTGACAATGTGCTGACTGGCGTGCGCAGTGTGTAGAGTCTCGGGTTTCGCTCGCTCCGATACTTATGCAACCGTCCGCCCTTTCACCGCTACATCGACGCCGGTGTACACCCTCGACCTCGTTATTCTTGACATCAGATGACTCACCAATACAACTTACCCGGAATGTGGCAACCGAAGACATCCATACGGCCAGCACCCCAACACCGACGAACAGGATTGATCGATTTAATACATACAATAATACTTCCACTGCAACGGTTGCTTCATCCACAAAACAGAAAGCCAACCCCACCATCCTGATTGGGTTCTGTCTACTTCCCGTGGACCTGGATGCATCACAAAGCACTCTGGAGGACTTTGTTTTGAGGCGAGAGGATTCGCCCTTAAACGCGGACAATAGACTAAACTACCAATCGGGGCCAAAGCCCATGTCCACACTTTTGACTCAGTGCTCCTGCTGACTTGATCAATCCTCCCTCCTTTCCGCAGTCTTAACTTCGCATTCTACCACACAGATGGTCGATGACACAGCCCCATTCCGCCTTCTGCTCGCGGAGGCTCAACGATTGGCGGGTGGGTGCAAATCTGCCAATAAGGAACTAAATTCCCTGCTTCTCAACCTGCTGCATTCCCTACCGGACGAAATCTCGCGGGAACAGTATAGTATGGAGCTTAATGCCGCATGTATCAGCCTATTCCCTCGTAGATGGGCGCCGACGAAACGCAAAAAGGTACCGCCAGTCATTAAGAACAATCAACAACGTCGAGGCCTACAATATGGCCACATTCAACGTCTCTATCATACGAGGCGTAAAGATGCGGCAGCAACTGCTATCGATGGCAGATGGCGAACGGCTTTCCTGCAAGAAGGCGACCGTATCCCTGGTTTTACGGACTTCTGGACAAAAGTCATTTCTCAGCCTCCAGTACATGACGACCGTCCACCTCGCAATATCAACCCCACTAACCCGGATTTGGTGGGACCCATCACCCAAGAGGAGCTGCGCGAAGCGCTTCGTCAGATGCAAGGCTCTGCACCGGGGGTTGACCGCGTCACACCACGGGATGTATTGAGGATGGACACCGTTTTTGTAAATGCGTTTCTCAACGCTCTCCTTGCTTGTTCGCCCTTCTCTTCACACATGAATATAGCACGGATCACTTTTGTTCCCAAGGCAGATGCACCCTCTTCTCCTGAGTTATTTAGGCCTATTTCCGTCACTTCCGTCTTTACTCGTCTGCTTCATCGAATCCTATTTGACCGCTGGGTCCCCACTTTTCCTTCCAATAGTCTACAATTCGGCTTCCTACGTAAAGGTGGATGCTTTGAAGCATCTGCGATAATGCTTCAATTGATATTTCCAAAGCCTTTGATTCTATTTCTCATCAGTCCTTACTACGCGCGACCTCTGCTTTTGGCGCACCCCCTCTGCTACTAGATTACCTTGCTTCCTACTACTCCTCAGCTACTTCCACTTTCAACACTGTTCACCTCCATCCGGAACGAGGAGTTAGACAAGGAAACCCACTCTCTCCCTTACTATTTACCATGACGCTGGACGAAGCCCTGCAAGAGTTACCCTCTGAACCTTGGACATCCCCAGTAAGGCCAATTGATTATCTCGCCTACGCCCATGACGTATTGAGCTTTGCTCAGAACCAGTTTTCACTGCAGAAGCGCCTGCGACATTTCAATGATAAACTGGCCCTCACAGAATTGCCCATAAACCAGATGAAGTCAACCTCCGTCAATATTATAGTGGACCGTTCAAGAAAACTAACGATACTGGACACCGCCCCTTTAGACTGTGGAGATTTCATTATTCCTTCCTTGCAACCAGAAGAGAAATTCACGATGTTAGGCTTGCCTTTTAGTTGGAAAGGTAAGCTCCCGCCAACTTCCGCAGGCGGGTTACGTGCTCAACTGGAAGAAGTTACAAAAGCGCCCCTAAAACCCTACCAGCGCTTGGAGCTTCTGAGGATGTTCCTGCTTCCAAGGCATCTTCATAAACTCTGCTTGGCCGTTGTCCACAAACTGACGCTAAAACGCATGGACGGGCTTGTTCGAGCCCATGTGAGAAAATGGCTCCGGTTGCCCACTGACACAAATCTGGCTTATTTCCACGTCTCAATCGGGGACTTTGGTATCGGTATACCCCGCTCATCCGCCAATATTCCACTGTTAAGGAAGGACCAATTAGAACGACATCTTAATAATGCACACTCAATTACTAGCTGGGCCATACGAGATCTCGCAGCTGGCTCGATTCATCGACTGGCGCGCTCCAATGTTACCATCGGCAACCGAGTGGTAATGGATAAAGAATCAACCGCGGAAGCATGGAAAGATGCGCTACTTACCTCAGCAGACGAGTGCCCGCTCCGGGGAGTGGTCACCACGCCCGCTGCACATCACTGGCTGCGGAATCCGGCTAGGATATTCCCTGGACTGTTCTTTCGAGCAATACAGCTTCGAGGTGGGTTACTGTCTACAAAAGTACGACGCGCAAGAGAACGACCGCCTGAGACCCAATCCATGCTACTATGTCGCGGCAACTGTGGACAAAAGGAGACTCTGTCCCATGTCCTACCATCATGTGGCATCAGCCATGAAGCACGATGTAAACGCCACAATGTCATTGCAGACCAAGTCGCCAAAAAACTCCGCAAACGAACAGTGAACATCGTTCTCGAACCAAGAATTCCAACAGCGACCTCATTCATCAAGCCAGATATACTCGCAGTAAAGGGATCATCGGTGCACGTCATGGATGTCGGAATTCGTGACGCCGACCGGATGGTGCGTACGCACCAGCTGAAGGTCGACAAATATGGCTCCGGAAATAACGCATTAGTGATCTCGAAGTATATAAGCGCACAATTCCCCGAAACACGCGAGATTTATTGCCATCCAATTATCTTAAACAATCGGGGATTTATTTATCCGGCTTCGGCGAAATATTTAACAACTCTCGGCCTCACCAAACTCGACATCTCGGATATCTGTTTCTCCGCTCTCCGATTCTCACCGATGGTATATGATACATATATGAGGGGAGCTTCCTCCCAGTCCTCCTAAAACGATTCCCGCAACCTGATATTTCATACATTCAGTGTCGGACTACACAAACGCACGGTGACCATGGAAGCGGTTCCGCCCAAAAGTTTTGAAGTTTACTTAAAACAAATGCTTGTTATTATGCCGGGGCATTTGCCCCTTCTAGGCAAATTGTTGTAAATCTCCACTCAGGAATCATGCATGCAATTCACCAAAAATACAATGTTCTAAGTGATGGAGTGTGTCATCCAACCGAGTTTTAAATATGGCTAGCGTGGGTACTGAAACAACAGATTCGGGGGAGAGCGTTCCATAGTTGATACACACGAATGAGAAAGAAGTTTCTACGGCATGCCAGATGGCTGTACTGTTCTGCTAATTTCAAGGAGTTTGGTGCTACTGCTGAGTTGCAGTAAAGAGTGGCGCACATGAGCTGAATTGTGTAAAATCAGGTTCGCCATAATCAAGTTGCCTCGTATTCGGTGATATTGCCCGCTGATTACTCCCAAACATTTCAGCCTCTACTCGTGTGGAAAATGGCGCATCCCAATGACGTATTTAGAAGCCTGATCCAATGCGGTAAGGTCGTGCTTCAGCGATGGCTGCTATGTGGTGGGGTGGTCGTAGTAAGCCTCCTCGAGCTGTCTGCGAGTACACCTAACCGCGATCTGAATTGCACTTGCAGATTCAAAGGTAACGAAAGGCCCAAGTGACCTGAGTTCTAATCTGAACGGTCAATACGTTACCGGTGCATAAAAAGACAATGTGGTGAACAGTGACAAATCCAATCAGATAACATGTATGCATCGAAAGAGATCGTAGCCGCGATAAGAATCCAGCCGGTATTTGGCTAGTCATTCGATCAAAACATGGAGGTTCACACGGATGAATGAGCGTCGTCGTCTAAGAAGACAAAATTAAGGTGAATGAGGGCGTCGTATGAAGAAGACGGATGGATGCACGATAAGAACGGGATGTTTTATCAACAACATTGAGGGAGAAATGCGGTCACAATTGAACTGAAAAAGCGAACAAACACAACTGAATGTTACCTAAATAACAGTAGCCAATGCTGTACACGGAGTAAAATAATCATAAGTGAAGATAGCATAAAATCGGAAAAGTGCAGATGCGTCGGGGAAAATAAGACGAAATAGATTACCGCATGATGCGTCGGATCCAGTTTCAAAGGGTATATTTGAGATCTTGAATTAAGACGTGGTAGAAAAGACTTCAGAAAGGTACGGCGTCACTCAGATGGAGAGGCATCGTATCATGAGTAAAAAACATAACCTGACATAAAAATAAAAGGGTGATAGAATACAGACATGTGTAAAAAGAGAACAAAGCGGTGGGAAGCAGTAGAACAAGATGCAAAAGGCTTTTGCCATCCAATAAAAACGTCTGTGCGATAATAAGTAGGTGGGCAGCTGACTTAATAAAAATGGAAATGCTCTGAACTCAAACCAGAGGGTCGTATGGCCTGGACAGGACTGGAAGTCTCAAGGCACCCTTGTAATGCGTCTCCGTGGCGTACTGATCGATGAAGGAGCCTTCCTCGTTAAACTTGCCTGTAAAAAACAGTCAGTGCATAAAAGATAGTGAAACGCATGTAAAGTTAGTCTGATTAATCACAAAGAGGCACAAGCATGTACTAAGAAAAGCAAGAGAAATGTACAACGATTTGAGGTCGGAGAAGAATATCGTGAATTTCGAGTGGGTAAGCAGGAAGGAAATATCAGCGTGGTGCAGTCCAAACCATTAGCATAACAGTAACATAAAGATGATAAACATAATCAACTAGCGTAAAGTAAGAACGTTCTATGCATAATCAGGAAATTACTATATGAGAAATGAGCGGTAAGCTATTAATCAGCAACGGACAAGTTCAAACATCGCAAATGTGCTTTGATGATCTTGCTGCATGAAAATCTCCGGTTCGCTATATTCCAAAGATAGTCACTTATCCAGCGCGTCAGCTAGCTGCTGCCTTATCACAAGTGCTCTGCTAAGGTTAATTTCGAACTTGACTGGATGACTGGTGTATTCATGAGGATTAGTGCAAGCGATGCCACGCAAAATGACAACCAATGATGCGTCAGAAATTCGCGTGCCAAGATCAGGACGAACAACAATAACAACAGCAGTACACCAGAAGCTAAGACGGATGTTTGGCTGCTATACAACCAAAATGACCTAACAAATAAGAAATAATAAGAGGGAACGAAGAGGGACCTGGTGTAAAACCTAAACGTCCTAAGCAAATATAGAGGGTCAAATTGCTCACATCTTGACAACGATCTACAGTTACAGATAGCTGACTATCGTGAAAAGATAAGACGGCAACGGCGAGACAGTTTCATGGTGACTTACTTTCCCGTGTCATAAACGGCCCTCATCCAACAGATAACTCACCACCATACACAATTTAAACAAGCAATCCAGTTAGGAGACGGCAACAAACGTGCCACTGGTACTGACTTCTTGTTAAGTCTTAGATACAGAACAAAGCGCGTTCCGCAGTAGCAGTCAGTGAGTTCATATCCCGCCGAGAACTCAACTTTCATCTACACCGAGCCTAAAATCAACTTACATTCAGCAAATAAAGTGAGGCTTACCTCGGTAAACGGTGACTGAGCAAACGTAGCACATGCCAAAGCCAAAGCCAATTATTTAATGGTATCTTCTGTACCATGGCACTAGCCGGATTACCCCCTACTAACACATACATGTGTGCATCATCGACGCAAACACGTCATCAGACACCAGCAATGCTCCAAAGGAAACGATGATCAGAGACTGGAAGGTGCCTCGAATTCTCCGACTGAAAGAACGAACCCCTTCGGACGCCACAAATCTTGCAGATTTAAGGTGATTCTAGTTTCCGCTGGGTAACTTCAGCAGTCTCACGACTATCGTTGCTGACGCAGACGCCAAGTTAGGTGAAATGGTCGACTAATTCTTGTTCCTTGTAGTTAAGTCAAATGTGGTCATCAAATGAGGGTGCTCCGGCGACGGCATTTGTAGCTTGAAGAGGCAATGGACATACCAAATTATGCGATGACTCCAGAGATTTTATTTAGGTTTAACAGTGCCTCATCGCAAGCGCCAATGAGCAAGACGATATCGTCCTCATAATTCATACCAACTAATTCTCCAACAAGTAGCATTGCAGTGTCCACATCGTTGGAGGACGATAATTTGAACGAAATTGGTGAGAGAGGAGAAACCTGGTGAACACCAGACATTTTCGGAAAGGAATACGAGAATACGCCGTAGAACCTGACGCGTTTAGTAGTGTGTTTCAGTGAACGTAGGATGTTTACATAATTGATGGAAACACACATTCAACGAAGCATGTAGAAGACCATGGAGCAAGCGAATGAGTAGAAAGCGCTCACGAAGTCGATGAGTACAGCTATTGTCGGTCGGCTGTACGTGAGGTTGACCTAACATTTACAGTAGAATGAATATTTGGCTTAAACAGCCTCGTTCTGTCCCACATCCGATATTCCCACCCCACAGTAAGCCGGTGGACGGAAATTGAGACCAATATTGTTGTCAATATCGACGTTGCCATCATGATGGAAAAGTCCCAGTTGGTTGAGAGAGATGTTCCTCTCTTACCTGGTCAAACAAGTGGAGTAGTACTTTGCAGAGGACCCCACATCTATCATTATATAGCGCAGGTTCAAGGGAATCCGGACCCGCAGTACGAAAACGGTTGAGGGCTATGATCACGCTTCGGACCTCAGATTCAGACGGAACGTCAAGATAAAGAGACTGTCGCTCAGCCTGAATCTGTTGAGAATGATCATACAACAGAAGCCCAATTGAACTGCTTTCGAATGTCGAAATCAGACGAGACGGGCGATGTTCGTTAGTGTGTAATGATGCTTCTATGTTGTTAAGTACCCTACTGACGTATGAAATCCTGGAACCAGTTGTGAAAACCAGATGGAACTAGTTGCAGTTAACATTCGCCGCTCAGATCTACATTTATTGAACCCCATCGTTCCAAAGAGGATTCTATATCAGCACACGGACACTGCTTCAGATCTCGCCTAAAAGTCCGTCTGGTGGCATGCAAATAGAAATAACACTAGCAATATATATTCTCGGCTTCATGAAATGCCCTTTCAGGCATGATCAGGATTTACAATCACGTCACACCATTACAACCTCAGAGGAGAACAAATGTATTAAAACAGAGCAGGGGCTGCGGTAGATAGTAAAGAAGATAAAACATTCAAAGGTTGAATTAAAGTAACATGGAACCGTCTACTAGGGATGTGCTTCAATGTGGGGTAGTACCTCTAAAGGTTTCACCCGCATTTTCATGCCCATCGTGCAATGGATCAGGTGTGGCTCAAAATTATGCAATCCATTACCCCTTTGATTTATATTTTAGGCGATTTTAATATGCGATTAGGGTTGGCACCACAGCCCAATCTGGCCGCGTCCCGGTGTAGGCTAAATTAAAAACAGGCCAACACAACTTAAATCATTTTGGGCTATTTTTATAGCCAACAGAAGTGTACACTTGCACTCATTTCACTCATCGGAGTAGGGAACATTTTATCGCCAGTGCATTTGTAAGTAGATAAGGTACACTACTACTACTACTACTACTACTACTACTACCACTACTATAATCCACTCTTCATTTCGAATAGGTTCAAAGGCCTATCGGATATACACCAACCAGTACGATGAGAACTGATAGGTGTCCCTGATAAATGCTCCCACTCCGTTCATGGTAGTATCTCTGAAGTAATTAGGTCAGGAATGTCCAAACGTGTTGCAAAGGGGGTCACATTTTGTGAAGTAAGATTATGTCGAACCATATTCAGTCTGACATTAAGATAATAACACGTGTACGAATAAAGTCTAAGCCTGAATTTATTATTTCATGATGAGGCCGTGGGACAGTAGAAATGTTAACGCAGGTCGGACTTTGAACATCCCTGAATTAGATGTAAAACCGGTATGTAGGACATGCTTATAATTTTGCTTGGTTGGAAGTTGAGATAACTTCTTTGACAGTCGAAAAAATACGTTTGATATGCTGCCAGGAAGATCGGTAGCGAACCAGGGGGACGGTCGGAGGCGACGCAGGTGCCCCAGAAAGAGTGGTGACAGTCTAGGCTGAAACTGTGACAATTGAAACTTATAACGACTTGGTCTGTGTGCGTCGAACGCTGATCTGCTATTGCAGAGCATCAAGCGGCTGACTGGCGCCCACTTCATCTGAAGGGCATGCTGCTAAGAAATAGATCCCTTACAAAATACGCTTTCCATTTTCCGTGCGTTCAAAGCTAAGCCTAAACTTCTTGCACAGCTAAGCTTCCGAGGACCTCAGTCGGCCTGACTACTGATTAATCTACACTGTAACTAGAGTGATTTTTGGACTAATAACGCTGCGAAGCAACTGGTTGAGTTTGCAATACGTGATTTGGGTAACTGCAGGTTTGCAGACGGTAAAAGCGATTGCGGCAATAACAACCAGAGCGCCAAGTGCTGTTCGGTGAATTAACAGTTGATGTTGCCGAAAGTACTACATAAAATGGTCTGCTCACAGGAATACAACTAACCAATCAACGATGACCCAACCTTGGAGCTGAAAATGATATCCATCGCAATTTGTTGAGTCTGTGTCTTAGGATGCGCGTAACCAAAAGTCAAACTCAAGTTAGGTGCAGTTAGCCTGATGGTCGCGTAAATGATCTTAATTCGAACATAAAGAACACATCGACACTCAGTAAATCAAATGTGCGTGCGAGTGAGGTCTGCTGACCTGTCAGACGTTGAACGCTGCCAGAGTGGTCTGATAGAGGCTGTTTCTGAAATAAGCCCAAAAGATGGTGCTAGAAATAAATAAAAAATAATATGTCCGCTAAACGTAGTAACGGGGAATCGTTGCCGCGAGACCACCGCCAGTCGCGCGCGGCCTGACTATACCTCCAGGACGCCCACCTCATACGCGGATTCGAAACGGTCACTTGTGGTCGAAAAGCAGACGCGCAGACCACTGGGCCACCGACCGAAGGTATCTACGGAGATCATGACTAAAATGATACCGCAACTGACATCAGTTAGGATGAAGACTGTTAAAGGAACTTTGACAGCAGAGTACGGAAGGGACAAAGAAGAGCAGGTGGAAAAGAAAGGTGGTATCTGCAGTGGCATGAATCCGCTTATCCGCCCTGCTGTACACAGTAGATACTGGGCGACGCCGATGCAGGATTTGGCTAGAAGTCAACGATAAATGTATTTATTACTGGCTGTATGTAGACTAAGGTGCCCCATGCTAAGGCTGATGTTGCATTCTTCATGCTTCTTCACCGCAGTTGTGCTAAACCAACTTACACTTAAACTAAGTCTCGTTAAGCTGCATAAATTTCATTCCAGTTTATTTGGTTAGTTTTACCTATCTGAATAATCTTCTATTAGCTGGCCACGTTGTTTACGCTAATGGTGATTATCTTCGGTAATTTTGTTGCGTTGGTAGCAATTTGATTAACTTGTGGACATATTTTCCTTATCGCGGATTCATTGCTAACCAAGTTAC